ATTTCCTTTATTCTAGCTACAGTAGCCCATTTCTGTTGGTTACATCAATCCACTTCTGTATCCAAGACTTAGAAAAACGTCACTTAAAACTCATTTGCTTATGTAGGCCATTTTATTCCCATCTAGTGTCCAGTGCTTAGTGAATAAGTGCAATTTATGATGGCTGTGTGAACGAGGGCCATACAGTTATCTCATTCGTTTTCACTTTTAAACTGTTAGTTAACTTAAGTGATTCACACTTTTTGATCTGTATCAGATTCAATGACAGTGTGAGCAAGGGCCATACACGCCTCACATTCATTCAAACTTGTACATTTCTGTTGGTTACACTGATCCATCTCAGTAAGCAGGGCCTTGTAAACAGCCTTACCATTCTATTTCTATATGTTTACGTGCATAACCTCCACTGAACTAAACTGGTGGAACTAAGCTGTAAGTGACAGTGACAAAGAATGTATACAATGTCCTATTGCTATGGACACACATGAGCCGTTATGGCGCTAGTTGACTCTATTGTTGTAAGGTGTACACGGTTGGATGATTATAATACATGTATATTGATCTCAGCTCTCGCACATTGACCTTTTTTATTTTTTATGTGGTATCTTTCTTACCTTTAACCCCCAGAGGTTTTGTGTGACTGCATTGGTTGGGGGATACGTTCCCAATTTTTCCCATGTGGTTTTTCGGGTTTTCGTATCAGGCGGCGCACACCTTTTTCCACTGTACATTTTGATTTGTAGGTACCAGGAGTTTCTGTTAGCGGTCGTCTTGCTTTGGCCTCTGGTGGGGCGGCCCTTTCACTCGTTCCTTGCTCTGGGCTGTGGCGGGTGTGCCCTCACCTTTGCTGGGACAATGTTCTTGTGTATCTGGTTTTCCCAGTTTTATATGCTTTAATTTAATAAAGCGGCCACTCCCGTGGCCAAAATATCCCATAATGGGTTTGTGATTATTTTGTGTCCCAGCAAACAGAGCTCACCCAAAGCGAGACTCCGCCAACATCAATAACTTTAGTAATATGTAAAGGAACCTGAAGCATAAAAAAGGTTAAAACACCATTAAAAATAGAATTTGGTACCTGTTTTAAATGAAGTTTTCGAATGCAATTAAAACAGTTTTAAAAATATATCAAAAATGTGTTAAAAATAGTCTTTGGTTTGGTACGGGTCTGAAAACCCAACCAACCTTCGCCCTATTTTAGGGCCAGCGCATCCTTATGATGACCAAAACACACAAGTGGCAGACCCTGGAAAACTCACAGGGCGACGCTAAAAGCATCAAAAATCATCTCTTAAGTTCCACTTTTTCTGCCGGGATTTATGGTCCCAGAGTAGGTCAGCAACCACATGAAACAAATGACTGAGCGAGACATAACAATTCTACACATCACCGATTTTGCCATCACTGAATGATGATTTACAACAAAACAGCTTAAATGAGTAAATAATATCCGACAATATCGATTATGAATGGTTTCTTTTTCATCGTTTTAATCAAGTAGAAGAGGAACCTGAGTGTGGTATCTTTCCAGGTCATCATCGCTGTGTACGAGGCAGATGCGTCTGTATTCCTGGCTACCTTTGTTGAGGTAACAGCAAATAATAATAATAATAATCAATAATAGTCATCGCCATCGTCAACGTCGTCATCATCATCATCAAAATCATGATAACAATAACAATAATCGCAACCTGGACTACATGTACTTGTATTATACAAAAAGTTAAGAATTGTAGTTTTTTTTTTTCAGAGTCGTTAGTTTGAAGTTTTGGTTTAATTTCAGATTTGCAACATCAACAGAAGAGAAAAAGACGCTGTAATAATGGTCTTCAGATGTTTTCACCGACCTTAGTGATGTAATGTTGATATGTTTTCATGATACTTCTCTTTAGATAAAGGATACGGATTGTAAGATATTGTTTAATTTATACCATCCAGTTTAAAAGGGATCCCTCAATGTTCTTGGATTCGAGAGATTCTAAGTCGAGGCTTAACTAGTCGACATCATAAAAGTTATTGTCATTTTATATTTCTATGCAAATTTGGAAGCATGGAAAGCATGTAGCCCTTGCTCTATTAATTTTCCAGTAATTAATAGTCTAATGTCATTTTCGTTTTGCTTTTTCGGTCGCCAAATTGTCTCATGTTGCTAGGAATGCTATAACCGGGGCCAGTTTCAAGATACTGGTGACATCGAGCAACCACCCTAAACCTATCTTATCAAGCCACTGTCAGTTGTCACCTAACTCTGTCGAAACCGAAAGTGATATCACGCCCCTTTATCACCTGGGCCAGGTTGTTCGAAGTTAGGTTAAGATAACGCAGGGTTAGTTGGAAATTTGAAATCAGATATGAGAGCTAAAGCAAATTTCAGTTTAATTCTCTTTGCCTACAATTTGATGATTGGATACTCTAAAGAGAATAGAGAAAATTATCCGAGAGAGTGCTTTTCATAAAAAGATAAAGCATTCCGGGTTAAAATTTAAACCCGGGTTAGCGCTAACCGGCGTTGGAACAACTGGGCCCAGAAGCCTGAAAAAGTACCTCTTTCGGGGGGAGTCTCCATGTACATGGTGAAACTGATCGGACGTTGCATGATACTTCCTTGAAAGGAACTGGGCAGCAAAGAAAGGTGCAGGTCGACAATTATTTACACCTGTTATAGTTAAGCTGGTGTAAACTGTTCGTTTGTTAATTCTTTAAAAAGCAAGCAATACCTTAGACGACAGTCGCAGGACTCTCGCAGGGAAGTAAAATCTAATCTCAATGAAGCTAGACCGTAGAACAGGAACAAAACATCAACTAGAACAAAACCATTTCATCTGTAACCAGTTCATGATCTTAGAGAAAGAAAATAACCTTGATCCACCTAACCTTTTGCGTGTCACTTTCCAGACTTTTAGCCATTTATTAATTATATAATAAGCGACTTTACACGTTTTTGTTTTCCATACAGGTGACTGAATTATTGTTAGTATATTACAATGCCAAGAGACAAGAACTTAGTCTGGCCATAATATGAAGAGAGCATATCGTCTCTCTGCTTCATGTGGAAGATTTTTTAGCTGCGCTTAGATCCTTTATGCAGTGGTGTAAAAATTCAATGTCGAAATGATTGCTGCATGTTCTCTGTTAAAGCTTGTTGCTTTGATATTTGTTATTACTGACGATATCTTGCACGCGAGACATTTAAAGGTGCATTCTAGTAAAGGTCAACATTCAAGCGGACAGAAGAAGACACAGTTGGAAGGTGCTGACACAACTTCTCAATGCTCTAACTCGACTGCCCAAGGAAATTCGTGTATCCCTGTTCATATTCCTGTTCCTGTGCCCGTACAAACTCCCTATGTAAACGAACTGCACGTCTACATCCATGATGGTAGGTCATTAAAGGTACGATAACTTATAACGAAAACAAGAGGTAGTGTGAGAGAGTGCTTCCAACATATATAAACAGTCCTCCTTTGTACTCTAAAATTTCTTTTCTCATGTCACCTTTAATTAATGTGCACGTCGTGTTTTATAATGCGTTTATTTTCCCACGGAACTTAAACTGCCTGCTTCATCTGCATTCAAACGAAATGACTCATTTCTCATATGACCTGAAGATCGAAATGCAGCAGACTAGCATTTTTCCTTGAAATATTATTTGCAATATGTATTATTTTCAGTCCTAAGTTAAGACAAAATATGTTTTGTCTTTAGCGTCAGACAAAAAAGGTGCTAACATCTCTTTGTCTAAATACAACTGCCTATAAATTAAAGATTTTTGTTGACTTATTTAAAGAACAATGATTAGAACCGTTTACCAAAGGCCTAATATCAAGCACGTAAAGAAAAAGAATGTATTCAGAAATTTGATTTCAGATTGTTTTCTAGGTGAAAGTTATTATTTTATTATATGAAGTTTTTCCTCCTCGACTTGTTTAAATGTCACTCGTTGAGGAACCAGTTTTACCACCCACTGAAATAGAATGGGTTGAATTTACAAAGCAGGTAAAAAGTTCAGAAAAAAGGGTTCGAATAAAAAAGTGTCTTACTCAATTTAAGTACCTGATATAGAAATTGCGATTGAGAATTCACATTCATGAAAAAAAAAAGAAAAAATTCAGTCGGTGTAAAAAGTAACCGAAATTTTTGTTCTGTTCACTCAGAAAGTAAGAAGAGATTTCAAGTACTATACCTGTATAAGGCATATTCCCCATGGGGAATGCGGATAACCTTGAAGCTTTAAATAAATAAAAGAATGCTTAGATTTATACTTGGAGATTACTCGTCTCTATACAACACTCTTCTCTCTAAAGTCAGCTCCACTTCGTTGTGTAACAAACGCATTCAAAATTTCCTCATTCTGTTATATAAGACTCATTTTCCTACTTATATGAAGAATATGTTTTCACTCCGGTCCTCTTCCTATGATCTTCGTGGAAACTACATTCTTCCACTAAGTAAACCTAAAACAACTACCTATGGTCTTAACTCCTTTTCTTACTTTTCAGCTAAGCAGTGGAATGCAATGTCGGACTTTTTTCGTACCACCTTTTTTGCAGACTTTAAGACCAAACTACAGGATGTTACCTTCATGTAGATTCTTTTTGCCTGACATACTTAACCTTAAAATTGTGAATTGTAAATAATATTTTCTTTTTTATGTGCTTATTATTATTAATATTATTTTATTATTATTACTTATAATGCATTTGATGTATATATATATATTTCTCTATTATTTTCATGTAGTGTCAGCTCGAAGATATTAGCTTGTTAGCTACTCTAAAATTCGAGCATAAATAAAGTTCTATGTTGTGTTACGTTATGGGGAGAGGGGGCGGAGAAATTCCCATACAACAAAAGGACCTCTTGACACTATTGTCTATATATGGAGGTTAGAAAATTGGAAATGGCTTTTGCTTTCAGGAAAACCTTGTTTCTTTTACTAAGGAAAACGTCCTATCATTGCTTTTTTTGTTTAAGGTAATTACTGCAAGAACGGAGGCATCATGACAAAACACAAGAACCACATATTCAAGTGTTTGTGTCCTCCCAAACATGGCGGACCTCTCTGTGAAGGTGCGACAAGAATTGTAAACTGCAACAACCTTTTTTCATTTATCCTGGACAATACAGTTCAATTTTCAGGTGACAATTTTCCCAGACAATGATATATTTCCTTGATAAGTGTTTTATTTATATTTCTTTGGTAAACAGTTCAAGGGGCCGATAAACGTTATGTTCACACCACGTTCGCTAAATAATTTTCCAGAAATGAACAACGTTTGAACAGATATAAGATCAATAACTACAAGGCAACAGCTTCAAGAGGTCACAGAGGAGCGTGCGTTCCCTGCTAGCAGAGCTGTCTCTCCTCGTCGTGAGAGACTGCTAGCAGGGAAGAGCGTGCGCATCTGCCAACCGTGAATAAGTCACACATTGCCGTTTTTCAGCAACTGCATTTTTCATGTAAAATTTGGGCAAATTTTTATCCTGCGTTTGATCCAACAAAAATTGTCGAAAAGAATTTTCACACCAAAATTTCTTAAAGCAGTGACCGCGTCCAGAACACGTGTAACACTCCAAGTAGAATAAATGTTCAGATTAGACGTCTTGGAGGCTCATTTAAACATTTAGAAGCCTACATAAGTTAAGCCTTACTGAAAGATGTACCAGCGCATCGTGTGGTAATTGCACAAGTTTGGAGTCTGTCTAGGAGGAGAGGAGTTCTCATTGTAGAGTCAAATGTAATAAATGACTGAAAAACGAAAGGGAGCAAGCCCAGGTGTTCCTGACTGAGAGATATCTGTATCTTAAAGCTTGTCAAGATTGAGCAGTAGATTGTAAACGCGACGACTGAATCCTTTACGAATTTAAGCTGAAAATTGATAGAAAGCCAATAATAATAACAAAATATATGTATGGTTTTTTTACTTTAGTGTCCGTTAATATAATCTTCAATCATTGTGCTCTTTTTTGGTGCAATTACTTCTTTCAGATACATTATTTTGCTACTGTAGTCCGTGTAAAAATGGAGGCACGTGTGAGGAACACGTAAAAGGTTATAAATGCAGATGTACACCAGGGTTTGAGGGACAAACTTGCGAAGGTGAGGACATCTCTTCCATTTATAGCTTTGTAAGAGTATTCACATTTCATCGAAATCATATTTATAAGTTTGTTTATTGTGAATAGGTCTTGCAACATCCATGGCTAGTATAGGAGGGATGTTTTACTCCGGTTTTTTGGGGAGGATTCCCATTAAGGTGGGGAGGAATAAATTAACGCCGATGACGTCATAGGCTATTGTCCTCATCTCATGAATAAAATGTGGTGGATTTAATTAAGTATACTGGTTTGACCGGTTTGTCAGGTTCTATTTTTAGCCTGGTTGATATAACTGGTTTATTTTTGTTTTATGACATAACCTATTGTCTTGAACTCATGAATAAAATGCGGTGGAATAAATTAGCGTCTATGTCGTAATACTCTATTGTCTTGTACTCATGAATAAAATGAAGGGGAATAAATTAGTATCTATGTCGTAATAACCTATTGTCTTGAACTCATGCATAAAATGCGGTGGAATAAATTAGCGTCGATGACGCAAGAGTCTTTCGTCTTTATTCATAGTGCGGTGATTGTAGAATCTATTCTATCTTTCAAATAGAAGCGCGCTCTCCGTTCAGCATATTACTCTTGCAATCGCTTTGCTAAGGAAACAAGTTCGCTTGCCTAACTAAAAATTCGGTTATAAACAAAACTCAGACGCAAAAAATGGAGCTCAAACTCTTTATTTCAATCTATTGCAAACAGTGCTCTCTCTATAAAATTACTTTATCTTGATGTCTTGTTACACGCTCTGTTAACCAGTAGTAATTTGCATCTGACTCATGCCTCTTTTGTGCTCTCGCAAATTAAACAATCATGCTTAAGTCCTCCAACAAAAAGATAAGGCACCGTTTCATACACAATTGTCAGGTCTATTGAAAAATAAAATATTCCTCTGCAAAGTGCATCGACAACCGTTTAATTAATTTGTTATTGGTCTATCGAGCATTCGTTTGGTTCTTTTCTAGGAAAGATCTTACGCTGGGATCGTCCTTGTGTAAATAAATCCATTTCGATTCTCCATGGCAATAGTATCTTATTTTCACAGGCCAGTAATTTCCATACGAGTACGATGGAAGATACGGATCATAAAGATGTCTGGCAATGCAGTACATTTCCGTGATCCCAAAGTCTTTTGGTAGGGTTTGGCATCGGGGCGCTCCTTGCATATAGTTTTGTACAACGGGATAGGCTGCTTCAGACCAGACTGCATGAAAAGGAAATGGCCGTGACCTTTTTACAATTGGCGGGGAAGATTTGACTACAGGAGGCGATTTTACTGCTGATCTAGCTTCGCAGGCAATGTTTTCCTCGTAACTGGTCGTTTTGACGGTTTCGACCGATTTTGCGGAGCTGCTAATAGTCGGATATCGACGACGAGAGCCGAAAATGTCACTCAATACTTGCTTATTTGCCGCCGTGTCCGGTTTATTATCTACAAAGATGTAACCGTAAGGCCTCTCTGTTTCATGATAATAAGCTGTCATGAATCGATAATCAAACATACGCTCAGCTGTCCGATTTGTTTCCGAATCGTTGGCGATTCCGACTGAAACATACTTGGGGCATATTCTGAAGGAGCAGTACGACGCTGGCATTTCTATGGCGACCTTGGGTAAACAAACGAGAAACGATGGGGCTTTCGATCGCTTCTGCCATTAGATCATCAAAGATGATAACGTTGTTGTATTTTGGGTCAATTTCTCGCAAATCTTCTTGAAATGTGGGAAGGCCACGAAAAAATTTAATGTCCTTTCCGATCGCTGATTTCAAAGCTTCGTATCTATCTTGCCACTGACTGTAATACCATAAAATACGGTTTCGTAGACAATAGGATCTCTCGTTAGAATCTGTTCTACGAAAACCGTTTTCCCTGATTGACTTGGTCCAACCACAAGGAGTGAGAACTTATGGCGAAACATAAAATCTGGATAAGGCTCGGTTGCCAAGGAAACATCATGGGAAAGCTTTACCTTCTTCGCAGTAGAAGAAGTTTTAGGCGTTTCGTTTACTGGTCTTCTTCTTTTTCTTGGTTCACATATTTTTCTCGTGGAACTAGATGAACAACTAGGTAAGTCGACACTTGTAGAAATATATTCTCTTTTTGATTCCCAAGAAACCTTAGCCTCTTTTAAGAGTCGTGTTCGTCTTAGCCCGGTTAAGTCATGGACAATTTCAAGATGAGAACTCAAGTTGGACACACCAGGTTTGCACATAGCGGACAAATTCGAGGAAACGTTCGAGGCATGACTGCTTATGAAAAATGACTCACAGTTAACAGAATCATTTAATATATAGTTATTTTACAATGGTGGGGAGTACTTAAGAGAATTCAGGGGTACAGGAGGGGTACAGGAAGGGTACAGGAAGGGTACAGTAGGGGTACAGGAAGGGTACACAGGAAGGGTACCGGAAGGGTACAGTAAGGGTACAGGAAGGGTACAGGAGGGGTACAGGAGGGGTACAATGAAAGTTCATTTCCGTTGTGCTTTGCAGCCGTGCCTCCATCGATAGCTATAAAAGAAGTAAGCCGCTGTTTCTGATTCAGTCAGTTCTTAAACCTCGTGCAGTTCGGATCACAATGTTCAGCAATTATAATCATTTCGTTCAAAAAGGATATGGAAATTTTGAAGATGATGACGACGATATTGAAAGCTCACAAGAAAGCGAACAATCATCTCAAAGTTCTCAATCTAGCGAAGAAATGGACTCTTCCGGAGAGAAGGAGGAGGAGCATGTAGATCCTTGGTCACCCATTCAAAATGAAGTTTGTAATCGCCACGAAGCCCAGCTCGAAGCTCTGATCAACGAGTATGAACAAAACGGAGACTCGCCTGAAGTGGCCCGCATTAAAACTGAAAATGCTTTGCTTCCAGTATATAGAAAGGAATTGAGAAAAGTGTTCTTAGAGTTTTTACAATGGATGCATGCAATGAAGAAAGATCCGACATTCCGAAAAGTGATGGAAACCCGCCAAGATCTCAAAGACACAGAAGGATAGACAGACAGAACTTGCCATCGATAAGCGGAAATTCTTACTCAATCGATTGTTTGTCAAACAAACTGTTCCCGAAGACTAAGCCGGAACTCTGTCTATTCATCTATTGTTGTAACACTTTGATGGTTTTGTTATCAATAAATGTATTTTTTAACCGAAACAAAGGTGTGGTCTGGTTGTAGCACGCGCGTATTAATCCCACCATTGTTTATATATAATTGAGTTGATTCCCTTGGATAATTTATGCGACAATCGTTCATGTTGGCTCAGTGTATATTAAATTAGTTTGCGATGAATAATAAAATACAGTTCGCTTGCGTTCGTTTTGTTTCGTATGATACAGGTCTAAAAAGAAAAAGGCCAACCTGTTAATGGTTAACGCTCGATACCACAGTCTAGAAACGTTTGAAGGTTGAATTATATTGACAAAACAGAATCAATGGTTTTGTAGAATAAAAATATTTATCTTTGGTCACAGTGAATAGTTTTAAGTCGAGTACTGTTTTCGGACCGTTGACTAGTATGTTTGGAAGCTATCCGCTCAAAAATATTATTTACTGGAGTTTGTGAAAATAATAAAATGCTGAACGGAGAGCGCGCTTTTATTTGGAAGATAGAATAGTAGTCTATTCTCACCTGTCTCCCTCACGCCTATTGTTGAGTATGGGCACCAACAGTCTCGTGTTGAAGATAACCCTAAAATACCACGGCGGAAACCACAAAAACCGCACAAACGGATGCCCATCCTCAAAACGAGAACCCCAAACTGAAAACCCCATCCTGACAAAAACAGAAATTAGGAACGAGGAAACGCAGAAACGAAGTCTTTTAAGCGATTAAGATCCGCATATAAAGTTGTGGAGGCGGAGGCCGCCAACTCGTTTGAAGACAATAAGTCAGAAGGAGATCCTTCACGAAGAACTTCAGCTAACTTCATGTAGTAAAGGGCAGTACCCTTGTTGGACCAACCCACGTGGGACATCACATCAGCGAGCTGTGATCCAGACAAAGCGAGGGTAATGGCGGAGCCCGAGCGGAAACCGTGCAGAGTCTGGCCTTCATCAATTTTCGCGTCCTTTAAATAAAATTTTAAGCGGGCTTCTGCGGAAGAACTTGTAAGGGGCTTATTGATGATATGACCCTGGTGATTAGTGGGGCGAAATAAGTAGCCGTTGGAGAGAGTTATGCGTAGTTCTGAGGCGACAGCCACATATGTTTCAATTGCCTTGACCGGGCAAAGCTGGGGATTTGAATGGCGACGAATTCCAAAGACGTTATAGGCGCCGTCTCGTAAAGTTTTACCCCAAACATGATTAAATAAAAAGCCATCGTCTTTAGGGAAACGCATAATTTCTGCGGTTTTCACACATCCCAGGTCAGAACCTCTATCCGCGCTGAAGAATAGAGTTTTAAAGAATGCTTGATCTCGAGCTAGAATAAAGAGAGCGGAAGGGCTGACTGCCGGGTCCGCCGTTTTTCTATCCCATAACCTTGCCAGAAGTAAGAGCTTCGGTAGAAAAAACGGGACTGCTTCCTTGGGGACGATATGAGCACGCAATTGTTCCTCAGATACAGCCTTAAGATAACCTTGGACTGGAGAAGAAGCAGCAGGATTACCAAAACCTAGCATACTATTCCATTCGCCAGAACGGCCGGCCTCGTTAAATATTGCACGAAGTTTTCCAATATAGGAATCCACGGTTTTAAACGCGAGTCGCTTGGGGCAACCGCAATCAGAAGCATCTTGGTTTGGGGCATTTACACATTCAGCTACATGGACAACCCTTTTCCCGTGACGATCTTTCCAAATCAGAAAACGCGAAACATCTTCGGGGGTGGCGGAATAGATAGACTTTGTATTAGGCAAAGAGGCTAGAAAGGTTTCAAACTCCACGCGCAAAGAGGATTTTTGCTTTGAATACGAAGACGTGTTGGCCGTTTGTGTAAGCTGTTGCAAACGAGCATCAACGGCTGCGAGATCCACTTTTATTTTCGAGGCAGGCTGACGTGGGACTGACTTTCTTTTGTAGCCACACATTTGGCAAAAACGAAACAAATGGTCGTTGGCAGAAGCACATGAAGGGCAAGCTACAACGGGGATAAAAAAACCGCTGTACTTGTGGGAGATCCTAATAGGGAAGACAGATGAAAGACTAAGTGAGAATAAATACCAAATATAGTTGAAAATAACTAAATAAAATCAAGGAGAGACGAAAAGTACAAGACTCGATGACTTTATTGAAATTACATCTTAATGACAGAAACACATCAAATGCAACAGCAAAATGGATTTGCTTGCTTGATAATCCTTAAACAGTATGAAATACTGCGAGTCTAATTATTTGAAATCCGGAAAACCCAAAGGTCCCAGGGGATCGGCCTGTCACCAAAGATACCATCCCTGGAAGGGGTGAGAAGAACGCCACTAGCCCCTTTAGAGGCTAGCAAGGAGCTGGAAGAGCATGCAGACAGAAGCAAAGGCCACCAAAAACGACGTGGGATCACGTCTGGGACAACAAGGGTGTATGGCAACTTAAGGCTATTAAGATACTTAAAGACCTTGGGAATAAGGCAAATGGGCGGGAAAACGTAAGGATTCGAAAAAATCTCAGGTCGATACAAGTTAGGGGATTGTGCAAACACATTAACCCCCAAAGCATTAACTAAAGGACTTTCAGAAAAAAATGGTAGAGGTTTGCCAGATAGGTCAGTTTGGACATTTGAAGCTCGTGCCATAAGATCAACGGAGTGACCTTTAGGACCGCCATACAGACTTTGGACCAACTCCCACGTTTTTGGACTAAGTCTAGAGTCCTGAAAGCTTAGCCGACGGGAGGGAGAATCCGCAGGGTTCTCAGCGCCAGGAACATAGTAGACACGCAGATCAACGTTAAGATGCATAGTAGTTTGAAACAAGCACTTAAGAGCGGTTACCAAAGAGTGGGAACGGGAACCACGCCTGTTCCAAGAGTGAAGCAAAACCTGACTGTCAACAAATGCATCCACCCATGAGTTTCTGACCGTATTCCCAAAGGATTGTAAGGCATTGTTGAGGGCAAGAGTTTCCTTGGTAGCAATGTCGGCCCCAATAACAGAAGAATCCCAGTAGTCGGAAGTGCTAACAGTAATGGCACCCGGACTCAATACACCTCCCCAAGCAAAAGAGGAAGAATCCGAGAACAAACGAAAATGGCAGTGTTTCTCGGAACGCCAAGGAAGGAAGCCGTTCCAGGTTTCCAAAAAGAGCCAATGCTCCAACTCCTGTCTCAAGGGCCCGGATAGTTTGACCGGTCGAGATGAGCGCACAGCACGAGAAAGGGCCAAGTTAATTTCGTTTGTATAAAGCCTTGCACCTGGCACGGCCAGAACCATTGAAATGCACTTCCCTCCTAACCTTTGGAGAGTAACCAGGTCGATGGATTCTGAACTAAGAGCCTGCTTGAGAAGAGTAAGAAACTTTTTTTTCTTGTGAGGCAATAAAATGAAGGCCTGTTTCTCAGAATCGGAAATAAAACCCAAGTAAGGGACTTGCTTGCAAGGTACCAAAGTCGATTTATCCAAACCAATAAAATAACCGAGGGAGGAAAGGATAAAACACGTAAGAAAGATAGCAGCGTTGGCTAAAGCCAAATTAATGCTATCCTGGGAGGGCAAATTTTGATAAGCAACCGGAAGACAACCATTAGGGAAAGAAAGCTGACTACTGTGACGGTTGTCGATGTACAGCGAAGATGGAATGCCAAGCGACCGTAGATAATGAGAGGCAAGGAGGCCAGTGGAGTGATAAATGTAGGTGGACGATTTCCAACCAAATGGAATACAACAACTGACAAAAAACCATCCGCCCCACTCGAATCCAAAAAATGTCCGGCTGTCTACTGAGAGTTGGATATGGTCGTAACCGGATTTGTCATCGTAGACAGTTTGAAAGAAGCCAGGGAGAACATACTTGGGTAAGTGCTGAACACTGTCCAATTTAAAAGGGCGGTCTTGAGTCCAAAGGTTGAGAAATCTGTCGTCATTACAAAGGCGTGGTTTGGTAGGTTCTACTGTAAGCGGCATGACCAGGTGTGGAGGTGGACATTCCCCTACCTTGCCCCAGAGGGAGATGGCGCCTGAAGCTAATCTCTCGATAAGAGTATCAGAAATAAACTGGGCAAACGCCTTACAAGAAAGAGGATTAGCAAAAATGCGAGCAGGCGGTCTGTCGCAGTTATAATTGACTCCCTTATAGCTTCCTTTATAATGGGTAAAAAACTTGTCAACGTGGATAAAGTTATGAATCCAGTCCAGTACTTCAGAGAAATTGTTATCAGACGATTGAAATAACTTGTCCCATTGATCTATATGGCGATGGAGTTCACCCGCTCTAAAGGAACTTGAGTCACGGAAGGCCAAAAGGGAGGCGTCGGCAAACGCTTCTCCCGCGATAACTGAGGAGATGAAATCTTGACTAATATGGGCGTTGTCTGCCATTTCCTGGGCCTCAGTAAGAAGAGATCCCTTATAATTGACCCAACGTGGCGAGTTAACAGAAATCTTGACAGGATCAAAGTTGGGAGTCTTTTCCCAGTCATGAAAAGGCATCTTGAAAAACTAGAACAGAAGAAAAAATAGGTAAGGCCCAGGGAATGGCAAACTCAGCCCCGGTAATCCGAGAGGGAACATTCGTTCCCCTTGAGAATGCCACCCGAGGGAAGAAGAAAGAGGAGCGAGAACAATATAGCGAGTGGACAACAATACAGCGAGTGGAGAACACTATAGCGAGTGGGCAAAATAAAATATATAAAAATATAAGTCGGTATTAAGGGATAAAAGGGTGAAGGATTAAAGACGGTAACCCCGAAATAAAAAAAAAAAAGGAAACATAAGGCAAGTAAAAACAATGCACTATTCGCCTAAAGGAAAATCTTTATTGCATAAGATGATACAACAAAATTATGTTGAAGGATGGTTAAATCGAGGCTGAGCAGCAGAAGAAGGCTGACGAGAAGGAGCGCGCTTCCAATACTGGGGTGACTTATGCCCTGGTTCACCACATTTGTAACAAATAACGCGAGAGGGTGGCCGTTGATAGGCTTGAAAATACGGTTGCCGATATGGCAAACTTCCTCTACGCGTCTGTGTGCGAAATGGTGTGGACCGCTGGAAAGACTTGTCAACCTTCGAGATCGTTTCGATAACACGGGAAAAATCCTTGTCAGCTAACAAAGCAAGGAAATACGCCTTGAACTGCTCAGCTGGGAGGTGGAGCTTCTCTCTCAAAGTCGAAGCGATAACATCATAGCTGGCGGCCTTGGGGTGATTGGAGGACTTTGCAACAGAAGCTAATTCTTCGGCGTAACGAAGCGCTTCGTACTTGTCGAAGTCCTCAACTCTTCTGCCACCATAATATGAAATTCTCTGTATCAATGACTCGACTGAGGTGCCTTGGGCACTTTCGAGAGCTTTATTACGCTGTTGTAAGGCCTAAAAAAGAAAAATGGGCAGTCAAAACTAAGCCCTAAAAGCGACAAAACATCGATAATAAAATCCAAGAATAAATTCAAGGCAATAATAAATAAACAGCTTTTATAATAAAAGATCGGGAGAGAAAAAGCAAACAAAATTAAATACAACGGGCAAAATAAACTAGCCCCAGCGGGACTGCCGGTGTAATCGAGCGGTAAATACGCAAATGAATAAAACAAAAGGGCAAACAAGGAGGCGCAACAACTAAACAAAACTGTAGGCAGAGCAAAAGTAAAAGGGGGTTTTAAAGATGAAAATAAACAAGCATACGAATTCAGAATTGCCCGCGAAGCCCACGTGAAAAGAGGGCAAAGGCTGAGAATCAGGGCGAAAAGCAAACCAAACAAAATTATAGCCCGCGAGGCCCACATAAAGGGGCAAATAGTTTATAACGGCGAATAAGATACAAAACAAAATACGGCTCGCACAGCTGACACGAAACGAGGGCAAACGTTAAAAGCAGGGCGAATATTTTACAAAACAAAGTTTTAGCCCGCACAGCCTACTCGTAAAGAGGGCAAACGTTAAAAGCAGGGCAAATAATATGCAAAACAAGATTTAGCCCGCTGAGCTCACACAAAACGAGGGTAAACTTTAAAAGCAATTTAAATACAGTGTAACAGGGTAAACAAAACAAAATTATATGCCGCACTAGCCCACACGAAACGAAGGTAAACTTTTAGAAGCAGAACGAATATACAAATAAATATTTAACCCGCACAGCCCACATAAAACGAGGGCAAACGTTAAAAGCAGGCGGAATAATTTATCAAACAAAATGTAGCCCGCACAGCCCACACGAAACGAGGCAAAAGTTAAGAGCAGGGCAAATAATATATCAGACAAAATTTAGCCTGCACAGCCCACACGAAACGAGGGCAAACGTTAAAAGCCGGGCATATAATATATCAGACAAAATTTAGCCCGCACAGCCCATACGAAACGAGGGCAAACGTTAAGAAGCAGGGCGAATAATATATCCAACAAAATTTAGCCCGCACAGCCCGTAGAAAAGCGGGCAAATGTTAAGAAGCAGGGCAAATAATATACTAAGTGGAAATGAAAAACAGCTCGCGTAGGGCAAACAACCTACAAGGTTTGGAAGCGAAATACTAGAGAACCGGAACGAAACACGTGGCAACGAACGGATAAAATAAAGTTTCACAAACCTCCAAAGAAACTTCGTTTGCTTGCACTGGCGCTTGTGCAGGCGGTTGAGCTTGTTCCTCTGGCGCTACTGGTGCTTGAGCTTGTTCTGCTAACGCCGCCGGTGCTTGACCTTCTTGTGCTTGGTTTTGTAAGACAACTTGAGCTTGTTGGACTGCATCTGCAGGGACCTGCGGGTCAGCCATGGTAATCTGAACAGCTCAGCAGCTTCGAGAGAATGGCATAACTCCTTTGTCTACTTTGCCTTTTATACGCGCGAGGTAGCACCTCTGAGAATAGATTCTACAATCACCGCACTATGAATAAAGACGAAAGACTCTTGCGTCATCGACGCTAATTTATTCCACCGCATTTTATTCATGAGTTCAAGACAATAGGTTATTACGACATAGATACTAATTTATTCCCCTTCATTTTATTCATGAGTACAAGACAATAGAGTATTACGACATAGACGCTAATTTATTCCACCGCATTTTATTCATGAGTTCAAGACAATAGGTTATGTCATAAAACAAAAATAAACCAGTTATATCAACCAGGCTAAAAATAGCACCTGACAAACCGGTCAAACCAGTATACTTAATTAAATCCACCACATTTTATTCATGAGATGAGGACAATAGCCTATGACGTCATCGGCGTTAATTTATTCCTCCCCACCTTAATGAGAATCCTCCCCAAAAAACCGGAGTAAAACATCCCTCCTATACTACTATTTACTTCTTAGAAATCGACCAAATTATGATTTTTCTAATTTTTTTTTCGGTCACAATTTTCCCTTCATCGTAGATCGCATGTCAAACAAAATTTCTTTCTCAATACTATTTGAAACATGCATGTCTTTTGTCAAAATGTTGGTGTCTTGTGTAATGATGCGTTTGTTAATTCAACAGAACGGAATTTTTGCAAGCCCAACCCTTGCTCCATCCATGCTAAATGTGTAGAGACTCAAGACAGCTTTAAGTGCATCTGTGAAGAGGGTTATAAAGGAGAGAAATGTAAAGGTAAAGAGATACTGTTTCATAAATAGATAACAGTTGAACCCACGATTTCTGCTATTCTCTTCACCAAAATCACCGTTGATAATCATCATCATCATCATCATCATCATCATCATCATCATAATCATCGTCGTCGTCGTAGTCGTCGTCATCGTCATTAAAATCATCTTCAACGTAATATTTAAGGAAAGGTTCTACATTCTTCTCAGTTTCTTGTATCTTAGGGATTTCTTGTAGAAATGACCTGATTTGCTTTTCAGGCGGCCATCCTTTTCTAATCATTACAAGGCTTTCATTTATGTTTGCTGCTTTCTTTTTATCCACACAATGTACATGTTTGTAATTGTCCTATCAAATTTCTTTTGCTGCAAGATGACTGTTTGCTGGACAGGCTTTACCCTTTTTTTTCAGTTATTACTATTTTTTAATTTGGCCTGTTGACCTTTATTCCATTACTATCCTGTAACATTAAGGGTGGCGAAAGTGTTTCGTTTCAATCTTATATGCCTGGATATATGATAAAGGTTAAGTTACATGTAAATCCTTAAGGGCGTTTATTACGGCTTGTACAATTCTTATACTGTAGACCCTGATGAAAAATTCTGAAAAAATGTCTGTACAATTTCTTTCAGATATCGATCCATGCAACCCAAATCCCTGTCAAAACGATGGAATATGTAAAGACGTACAAGGGGAAGTTCAGTGTGAATGCAAACTTCCTCATACGGGAACATTCTGCACAGGTCAGTTTCTCGTCACAATAGCGTGGGATGCCTCTTACGGTCTATCTAGCCTAAATACCACTAATTGAAGCCATCGTTTGTTTAAATTTTGTACAAAATCGCAAGATTTGCATAGCTTCATAGGACAAGGGAATGACTGCATCAATTCACTTAAAGTGTACAGTTAGTGAATATATGATTAAGTATGATTACCATATTAAAGTCTCACGAGTTATGAAAGGCAGTCATGACCAACTATTTTCAAGGATTCTTAATTGAGGCAGACTTGAAAATATATGGACGTTTTCGTAATACCTCAGACTAGTAACTTAATGCTCGGGTCGGACGCATTTATGGGCAGGTGCAGCCGTAGCCTGAGTGTTTTGCTATCATGCAAACAGAAATGTGCGCCGCTGCAAAGAAAGTAGTCTTAAAGTTGGTGTAAAAGAGGGTCTCAATGGGGTTAACTGATAGGCGTAAAACGGCCAAAAATTTAGTCGATAGCCGTAAAAATTGAAAAATTTTAACCGTTAGCCGTAAATAGGGTAAAAAGAGTTAACCGTAAAAGAAATTGTTCCCTAGATTTGCTACTTTTAAGGAAGGTACTACACTCACTTTTGATTGCGTTTTTTATTTCCCTGCTACTGTGGCTCCGTACGCACGTTAGGTAAAGCGCCTTTTAGGTCTTGACCAAGACCCTGGCTCCATTTCCGCGGCTCTCTCGGGGAACTAATTTTTTTTTCCATAGCGAAAGTGTGGCTTCTTGCCGGGGATTAATATTTGCGATGTTCAGGAGGTCGTGCCCTCGAAACACTAGTGAAACAACACGCAGAGATGTCACTGTTGTAAAACACGTTGCCGATAAACAGCATTTCCCTGTTTTTCTCTGACACTACGGTAGACATTGCCATGCCTAGTCCCTGTACGACGTCTTCCCACGCAATCTCGGCCAAGGCATTTCGGTGGCGAACTCGCTTGGACCATGTGACCCGAAACGCATTAGCCGCACGAAATAATGAGGCCTACGGACAAGGCAACGGCTGACAGTGGTTCCGTACAGTCCTTCGCTATCAATAAAAACACTGGACACGGGAATTTTGTTATTGGCCGTTTTCACACTGGAGCTAGAAACGGATTATCCGTCTGAGACTAGCCTATGTACAGCCACCCCCTTCGCGACAGACATCCTTCTCCGATTTTTTTCTGAGGGGAGAGGGCGGCTGTACACAGGCTATCTGGAACGGATAATCCCGCCTTCAAACTGTCCGTCGAAATTGATGGATAAAGTCAGGCGGATTGTTCATTCAAAATTAAAACGATTCCATTTTCAAATTAAGACGTATTACCCATCTGACGCGAATCATCAAACGGATAACCCGTCTCACACGAATAATCCGTCTCTAGTGTGAAAACGGCCGTTTCTGTTGTAATGAATGTCGCGCCCCGGCCTTGAGTTGGGCGTTCACGTGTGTGCTTTGCTTTTTCACAAAGATCATTTTTAAATTGACTATTGACATTTCTATGTGTAAATTAATATTGAAAATGGAATACTTTAAAAAAAGTTTGATCTATCAAATGTTAAAATTTTTTCAAAAGAATAGCTTATTTCACATCCCGAGATGATCTTAAGACCTTTATTTTGCTTTAAAGGTACAAAAAACACAGGTTAATTAATATTTAACTTTTTGAAACAAAAGAAGTTAATTTTTAACTTTTTTGTTAACCGTAACGGAAAAAAATTAGCCGATAGCCGTAAAAGAGCCAAAATTTTAGCCGATAACCGTAAATGCCACCACCCCATTGAGACCCTCATAAAACGGTGTCTTAAATATTTCTCCATTATTATTGCCTCAACAATACAATATAGGGACAGTCAATCGATAACTCAAGCCTTTAATGAAGCTATAGTATATAAATTTGTCGTATTGGTTGCATTAAGACAGAATCCATTAGGAAACTGAGTAATTTTGATTTTCAATGGACGAAATCCTTGTACCGGAATAATTTAAAGCGCATTGCATTCTTTTTTTACATTTTTCAAGGGTTATAGATGTAACTAGCATGTGTAATAACACAAAAGAAAATTTCTCATGGGGACCCGAGAAAATATATGTCAAATTTAACAAAATAACAGCTTGCATATGAAATTTTCAGAATTTTACCTGTGTTTTCACAATCCTAATGAAATTTGGCATCCATTTTCTCGGGCTCCCATAAGAAATTTTCTTTGGTGTTATTTCAGGTACCTAATTACATGTCTAACCCTTGAAAAATGCAACTATTCTTTAAATTATTCTGGTACAAGGTTTTTGTCCTCTGAAAATTAAAATTACTCAATTTCCTGGTGGATTCTGTCTTAATTTTCTGTATTCTTTATTTTTCACAAGAGACACTTGTATGCTATCATAACCCTTGTCATCATGGTGGTAATTGCGTGGAGAATCCACTAGCACCTTGTGTCTGCCAAAATGGATATATCGGCCCTCACTGTGAAGGTAACATCTTAGGCCAAATCTTGCTTTGAAGCAACACCAAACACCCGAGGGTAAATAAAATCTTGTGTCCAATTCATTTGTGTCTCTTTACAGGTACATACGCCTATAAAGTAGCCAGGTAGAGTTGAATCTCGATTATCTGGACTCGTTGGGACTTCAGTAAATACAGTGTAGTCCAGATAATCGTAGAATATGAATCAAGTTAATGAGACAATAATGAGACGGGGTGCGGCGGTATGCGCAAGCTATATTGGTTAAATGCTTGAATATATAGAGAATACTTCATGGAAAGTGTAGGCGTACGGTATTACGCACGAGTTGTTGACGTATCAGAAATCGAACGAGTGAGAGCAGAGAACGAGTAAGATTTCTGATACAAAAACAACGAGTGCGTAAATACCGTACAAAGCACTTTCCATGTGGTATTGTGTTTATTATATACACACTGAGACATTCATCATTTTGGCAGTCTTTTTATTTTAAATCTTTCAAAAATGCTAAAATTTGCCGCTACACACTTACCGCAAAATGACAACGAAAACGAAGTATCAGCGTTATAGTAAAAACGTTTGTTAAAAGCATAAATGACTGTAAGGATATGAGGGAATCCAATAACTATAAGTAATCTTAACTGTTTGTTCTCAATGCACAATTGAAAATGAGTGAATCTAAGTAAAATGGCCGGTTTCAATACAAGCTTAACTTTAGCTTAAATGAAAGGCAAAGTAGCTCCGACAAAAAGCACAACAAAAGCTTACGTCTCGTTCCGTTTTTCCCTTTCGCTGTTGTTTCGCCGGCTCTCTACCGTTAGCTACCGTTTTCTTTATCGACAGTGAAACAAACGAAGCTATTCCACTCCATTTCCCAAATGTTTTACACTTTTTTTAGCGAGAAAAACTCTTTGAATGAGTACAACTTTTCTCGTTGAATGTGTGCGAAGCGGCGCTGCAAGCTGCAATAAAAGGGGGGAATTTTGGCGCTTCTGATTGGACGTATCATTTCTTTCACGTGTGAAAACCATCGTTTGCTCCTCTGATTGGCTAGAACTAATTTGCGTACGAAAATTTACGAGATAGCTTTTTGGTGAGTATTTCTCAGTATGTATATGATAAATACTGTTATAAAATAACTAAGATAGTACGCGCGTTCTGATTGGTTAAAAACATATGGTTTATTGTGCCGGTAAACTCATAGAAACTTGAAGTTATTTTATCCCTTCGGCTCGTGATTTACAACTTTTCTCGTGTTCTCCCGAAATCCTGCGTGGTTTATCACGCCGGTAAAGCCATGGAAAGTGTGGTCTATTGCTTAATGAAACCAAACGCTAAATGAAGTACGCGCAAGTCCTGTGCGATATATAACAAGGGTAGAAACAGGAACAAATATGAATTTCGGTCAAAGAAAACTTGCCGGCTCGAAAAATATCATCCTCAATACATGTGGAGAAACATTTAACGTGGTCAGTAAGGCGCACTGGAGCAGAGACAACCTTATCTCAAGTAGAAATCAAAATCACTTGGGTGCGAATGCAAATAGACTATTTCGTTTTTGTTGAATTTACAAAGGTGCTAGGTAGTTAAAGTCATGTATTAACCGTAGGAAATTCCCTATACCCGAAACACTTAAATTTCTCAAGCATGTTAAGGCATGGCTCAAGTTTTGGTCTCGATCCCCCACGAAGATAAAGCTGTTTTTCTTCTACGGCCATGCATTTTAATTCTAAACGTTGCAAAATCTTTCGAGATAACTTTCTTTGAAGGCGTTGAATTAATTAGGGCTGAAGTGATGTAGTCACGTGAAACGTGACGTCATAATGATATTCAAAAAGAAATTCAAAATAGGGTAGGAATGGTTGATTACAACTAAGCTTGAACCATGTGTAAATGTTTGTTTTACCGTACGAATTTTTCCGTGGCCGGAACGGAGAGAATTTTAAATTTCTTAAAAAGATATTAACAGGTGAAAAGTGTCACGTGTCCTATTTTGCTTAATTACTAATTATATGAAAAAAAGAGTAAACCATCCTGGCCAGATTCAAGCGAGAAATGATGATACAATAACAAAAATACTGTATTTAATATTTACTGTGTGGCATCTCGCCACCCTATTTTTAGTTCTCTTTTCTTTCCTTGACTCGACCATAAGTGGTCACGTGACTCAGATATCTGATTTCGTACGTTACAAGAAAATTAAGGTTACCGATTTTCCCGAGGTTGCCAAATTTTCAAAGGTTCCGATAAATTTTAACAAGGTTATGATCATTATAAGATTTTATGCAAATGAGCCTCAGGCCATGCCTTAACATGCGTGACAAGTTACATGACGTCACAGTAAGATTTCATTATATCACTAAGGATGGCCTGCTTTGCTTTAGATCACGTGTGTCACCCGAACCCTTGCGTCAACGGAGGGAGCTGTCAGGTTGAAAGCAACACTGGGCATCAACGATGGACTTTCAAATGTGAATGTCCACGAGGGTTTATTGGAAAACTGTGCCACAGTATGTAACATATCATGGGTATCAAGCATTTCTTAGGATTTTAGGATTCGGTCTTCCCCTCTATTTTCAGAAACGCTTGATCACCGATAAGTACCAAACTGATTCTACAAGAAGACCTTAATGTTAACATCGATGATTGAACTTTTTCAGTTTTGATGAATATTCCCCGTGAGGTTTTCTTAAATAGTGTCATTTGTTATAACAGACATATTTATTGCAGGCAGTATCAGCAAGATTGAACTACCAGGATACACTCATTCTTTTGCGGAAGGTTAACACTAAAGAGATAGGCTATCTATCGGGTTACATGTACAGTAGGTCGAGAGAATCTATTCTGTATGTGTAGTGAGTGGCGACGAGGATGCGAAGACAGGCATGCTTGTTCATAAGAAGCTAAAATATTCTCATATTTCTATTCGCAGTTCCGCATCCATGTTTAGACTTTGTGTGTTTAAATGGTGGAACCTGCTTTGACGGACAAACTACACAAGATGTAGCTACAGACTTAGAACTGACTTCTCGACCCTTGATGAATGCTGTCTGCCACTGTTTGCCTGGCTTTACAGGGAAGAGATGCATAAGTATGTAAACTGCGTCTAGAATGTCTTGCTTGCATTGGAATCGTTCCTGAAATTGGGAAAAGATGTATCACTGAATAGGACAGAAAATTTCCACTAAAAGTTGTGAATTAATAACGACAGGAGCCGATTGGAGGCTGCCAATGGTAAAACAACTGCAAAGAGGAAGTATATCGGTAAAATTTGATGGGTTGAAGAAGAGAGAAAGCATTAACAATCGAATTGATGGTTTTCCTGAGGTGCAAAGGTATTTGAGATGGCCGCTTACAACAGTTTGTAACAGTACTGCATTGACGTAGAATCTTTGTTTTGTAATGGTAGTCCCTTTGAGTGGTGGTACTTTACGAGAGGTTGTCGCACACAGAAGCCTGTGTTCAGCCTCCCCCCTACCTATAGTTTGATGGGGAAGGTGGCTGTATACATGCTAGAGGGATAAGGTCGTATTGTCCACATGTAACCTGCGATCAGGTCTAGTTTTAGAGATATAGGGAGGGTATGATCGAAAGCAAATCCACATGTTGGCGTAATAAATGTAGAATAATTTTTGATTATTTGGTTTCTTTCGCTTTTTTAGCCAAAATATGTGACATGTGCCACATAAACGCTACTTGCATCAATAACCGTTGTGTATGCAACGCCGGCTTCATTGGAAATGGATTTCAATGTGATGGTAAGCAGAGTATTATACACAGTGTGAAGAGTACATTTTTTCAAGGTAACACGGTAGACTCAAAGAATGGCCCACTGCTTTGAAGGCAAATTAGACATACTAGACAAAAGGAATTTCTTAGAATTTCGAAATTTTGTTTTTGTTACCGTAAGGTGAAGGTGTCGTCTTCTCACGAATTTTAATATGCTAAGGTCAAAAAGTAACTGAAGTTATGAGTAACAGTTGGCAAGACTTAATTGTGGACCCATATTCTTGCTACTGATTGATTTACTACCTCCCCTTTATCAAACAGCTGATTAACTAATTTCCTATATGTTATGTCTTCTGTGTTGACTCATTTCAGGAATCGACGACCCGTGTAAGCCAAATCCTTGTAAGAATCTGGGAGTTTGTACTTTGGGACCTGACAGGTCTTATACATGTGAATGTAAAAAGGGATATTGTGGGCCACACTGTGAATGTGAGTTAAAAATATATTTTTAAATGCATTTCATATGTTCGTTTTATGCATTGTAAGCTAATCGTATTGATCGGTTAATTGGATAACTGAGCCCTTTAGTTTTTTTTGTGAGAAAGTTGTGCCACAATTTTTCTCACGTTCAATGATAGCGCACAACAATGTCGCTGGGTGGTAAATGCACTGATGATTTCACAAATGGAAATTCACATTGGAGGGAAAATAAGGACAGTTGTATTACATTTTATGAAATCTTTAACTACAGAATCGTAAGTTTTTTTCCATATAAAGTTCACATATATACTTCTCTTTTCTCTTTGTTTGTCAACGTGGCATTTTTTTAACAGCATTATGCGATCCTTGTGTGAGCAATCCCTGCCAAAACAATGGAACATGCACACCACATGGCAATTCCTATGTTTGCACGTGTTCACCAGGTTTCACAGGAGTTAACTGTGAGCGTAAGTACACCAGCATCGTTGTGGCGTGCCCATTAAACCTTCTTTACCATAGCATGGGCCGTTACGTGTCTAAGATGTTCTCATCGTACCAGCTAGACAAATTTATACAAATTTATAGCAGTTTGAGGCTACATTTACACTATACTGGATATAGCTTAAAAAAATACTCCTACCTAACTATGAACACCTGTTCACACTGCAGCGAAGAGTGTCACAGAAACCTATTCAATATGTGTTGATGTAATTTCAAGACCAGCACGGCGCAACAGGAATTCTTCGCTTCTTTTAGAGAGACCTCTCCGAAATCACCCTTCTTAGCTGTGAACAGAAGTCTTTACGAAATGGCTTTTGTCCTGGACAACGAGATATCCATGGATAGACATTTTTTAGCCTCATAAATTACATGAGAACTGAAAATGCATATCTACTTATATAATTTTTTCATTATTCCTATTTTTTTAACAGTAGTTTTAAATTGGGTAATTCAACCAGTAATTAAAGTTTTAAATAGCTTAGAAATAAAATTTTTGATTTTCACACACGTCAGTTTCTATCAGTTACTCAATTTTGATGTGTAAACTTGACTAATTATTGTTCTTTCAGTTACTTTAGCAAATCCGTGTGATTCACAGCCTTGTTTGAATGGAGGAACGTGTGAGAATGATTTAGCCAACAATGATTACCGCTGTTCCTGCAAAGGAAAATTCACGGGAAAAAATTGTCAAGGTATTTGACTTATTACAGTCTTTATGGTGTATATACTAGGAGTAATCGGAGCTTAAGGGAGTGCGTTCGATATGTTTGTAAGGCGTACAGGTAGCAGCTAGTTGAGGAGGAAGGGTGGATGGTTGTTGCGATAGATTAAACCCGGTTTCCATATGATCGCTACGATCGCTGTGATCGCTGAGAAAAAAAAGTTCAGCGATCATATAGAAACCACTCTCCAGCGATCGCAGCGACAACGATCGCTGAGAAAGAACTTTTTACATCTCAGCGATTGTTGTCGCTGCGATCGCTGGAGAGTGGTTTCATATGATCGCTATGATCGCTGTGATCGCTGAAGTTTTTTTTTTCTCAGCGATCCCAGCGATCACAGCGATGGTAGCGACCATGTGGAAAGCGGGCTTTAATTTGATCATGGCATATTTTAAACGTAAGGATTGCTTGTAGCGAAACCTCTATTTAAAGTGTGTATCATTATGAAAAAGCCTTGAAGGCTAGTGATATCGTATGGTCCGTCTCAATTAGTGCAGTAGTTTGGTCGAGTGTGTTGATTTCAGTGATTTGAGTGGAGCTACTGTGGGCTGTTTATAAGTTTTTCCGAATAAATAACATAGGCCTAAAATGTTCGTTTGTCCGGTGCCGAAAATATCACAAGTCGTGATGAAACGGCGCCGCCGAGCTACACATCTCGGTAGATTTACTTTGTGGCACAACGGCCGCCGAGCAAACAAACGCTTGAGGAGGCACGAATCACCACGTTCACGAGTTAGTTCGTCGAAGTGAGGTAAAACGTAAGCAAGCGCCTCAGAGCGAGGTAATGTGGAAAAACCTCCCTTATTAATTGCACAGGATACCCAAGAATGCACGGAACACCCAATACAAATTAGGGGTTGCGTTCTCGTAACTCGAACGCAATAAGCTTGCCTTTCTTAAAAAGAGAACCTTCAATTAATGACTTCACAAATAGTAATGTAGTCTGGACCGGTTAGTCCGTTTTTTGAGGCAGGAATCTTATTATTGACAGCAGGAACACATTAGCCCCGATAACGTCATAGCCCTTCTCTTGATTTCACAGATAAAATGCGGGGGAATGAAATAAGGGTTCAGTCATGTTTGGGTTGGTTTGACGGTTGGGCAGGCTTGCAGTTCTATGATGCCAAAGTTTATTTAAAGTTGTGAGCGCTTGTCCTTACTTGGGCATCGTGCCAGTTGTGGTAAATTTACTGTGTCGTAACGTCATTACGCATGTAATGTTCTCCAGCTGCCGTTCTCGCCGTTTCGTTGTCCATAGCAGACAACTTATTGTTCCAGTCCTGGTTCACTGATTGTTCGCGCCAAAATCGGGGATATTAATTTTGGCGAGGGCAAACTATTGTGAAAAACGTCACTATTTGGAAATAAAAGGCATATTGATGTAAAATGTTGTTTTTAGAGTGCGGCTGTCTTCAAGCTACTGCTCCTACCGGAGAACCTTTGGTTGCAAAATGTGACCTCGACGGACATTGTTACTGTCAATCTTTTCAAGGTCAACATCCCTACTACTGGCCAGATAAAGGTTGTGGGCTTATAATTGACCCCGGTAAGATTTGTAAGCTTCTAGTCACTTGACAACGATCCACTACATGGCAATCCTTTTTTATGAAATTGTTGAGATGGTATTTTAAAGAACTTTATGAAAATTCGCTTGATCTAGCTCGTGACGTCGAGACCTGCTATATCTAGAGACTGTAGAACAGGTCTGGTGCCCTACGTAGACCAAAGAAATACGCACTGGCGAGCGAATACAGTCAGCTCTTTGAGACGGGTTCTTGTAATGAGGGCATCCAGAGTTGTTCTTTTCTTCATGTTGCTCTAAAGAACGGATGAATGAACTGCAATGTCAGTTTAAGCAAGCTGGCTGTCAAGGGAGATTTGACTCTATCACCAAATCAACTGAAGTAGTAATACCATGAAGGTATTAATAATGGCAACCTAAAAAAACTAGAATCTAACCATAATAACCAATATTGACTTAAGTATATACCAGGCCTTCAAATAGCGACTTTCAAATTTAATGTTACCGCGTGCTAACCACACCATCCCCTCAAGTGTAACGCACTACACTACCATATCAGCCCCACTTTATTTCTTATGCTGTTAAAGAAAATCGCGGGAAATGGTAGTAAGAACAATTTTAGGCCAGGTTAGATATCATTAATACATGAAAAGTATTATTATATTCAACTCTATTAACTTCCTAATTTCCCTAGAAAACACGGTTGTTTCATCTTACCTGTTGGAGACCTAGAGACATCTTCCTCAAATGACCTCAAATACCATTTATTAGATGTCCGGAAAGACCGCACGAAGGTCAAGACCAAGGCTCTCATAGGTGTTTGGGCCTGATTTTAATGCCCTACCTTATAATCTGGTTCTTCGAACTCTCGGTTTTCTCTTGCCTTGCCAGATTCTTTTGTTTATGATTGCTTTTTCTTTAACGAGTTGTTTAAGCCTTATAACCAAACATGTTAAATTTATGTTGAAATCCAGACGGAACATTACTCCTTCAGCTTTTGAGGATCGGAGCTGCGAATCGCTATAAAATTTACTTTTCTATGTTTTAACAATTAAGATAATAAATTAACATTGTTTCCTCTCTGTTTAAGGTAGGAGAAATCTATGCAAACTTTATCCTTGCAAAAATAATGGTTCATGCTTCCTACAGAACGGTGGCTTATCTTTTGTGTGTCTTTGCCCAGACAAATATTACGGGAAAACGTGTGAATGTAAGTCATTGTTAGATACACTAAACAATAAGCATACAAACGTACACTTACACTTCAATCGACCTTCAATTTCAAATTTTGTTTTACAATGTTGTTTAATTAACATCGTCAAAGTGAATTCAAAGATTCAACTAAGACAATTCTCTAGCCAGATATTGTTAATGAAAAATCATATCCGGCAAACTTCAGTAAAACCACGCTTTACATATGACTTGGCAGCCTTCTTTATTTCAGATTATTGTCTCAGTCAGACGGTTAATTTTTAAACGGTAGCTCAATATGTTTTCAATTTTTTTTTTCTGCAGTCTTCGTTTTTAAAGATTATTGCCTCAGTCAGACGGTTAATCTTAAAACGGTAGCTCAATATGTTTTAAAATTGTTCTTTTTTTTTTGAAAATTTTAGGCACTGAATGTCTGTGCAACAATCCGTGTTTAAACAACGGAGTCTGCGTGGATATTTCCACCCACCTTGTTAAATGCACTTGTCCTAGTGGTTTCACTGGGAATTTTTGCGAAGGTAAAATCGGTTTACTCTTTAAATCATATGCTGGCGACCACAATATTTTTTGTATGAAGTACAGCTAAGTCTATGTAATAATCTCTATCAAACTATATATAGCCGCAGTTATTACTTCAGTGATGACATCTGTTGCACTGTGGACTAGCAAAGCCGTTACTTTCCACATTGACTTGCAAATGCATTTTAATTCTCACCCTACCAACAGCTGTCATTCCTACTGTTGGTCCAGGAGCATGTCACTCGAATCCCTGTGTGAATGGAGGAGCTTGTGTTGATAGAGCGTTTGGGTCTTATGACTGCATCTGCACCCTACAATTTACCGGACCTCATTGTGAAGGTAAATACAATCACGGCAAACGTAACTGCCTTTACTGCTATGTTCATCTGCTATTTGTTTCATGATTATCTACAAAAATAATCTTTATTCAGGTAAAAGGATCGATTAACATAAATAGAAATGCCTTTAAATCTGCCACCAATTGCAATATCTTAATCACATTCCATCGTAACTCATCGCTTTCGCATCAAAACTATTCTTTCTTTACCTATCTAGTTTAGGAATTTCCACCGGCGGAATATTTGCAGTGCCGTAGCCAGACCAAACGGCCAACCGAGGCAGGCGGGAGTTGCTAGGGGGGTTCGGGGGCATGCCCCCCCCCCCCGAGAAATTTTGAACTTTAGTCTCTCGGAAATGCGATTTGCAGCGTTTTCTGGGCCTTTCGGTAACTTTTTTCGAGTTAATTTTGGAATTTGGAATTCAGAAAAAAGCAATAATCAGGGTGACCGTTAACATAATCAATGGGTGACTGAATTAGGAATATCCTCGCCAATGGTTTTGATGATCTTGTTTATCTGTTCCTTTATTTTAAAAAATTTGCTATGGAACTTAAACACTCCCTTTTTTAACGTGACCAGCCACGCCCATAATTATGCAAAATTTGGACTTTGCAGAGTTTCGATGATGACCACAATGGGTTTTCCTTCCATGAATTTCATTTTTCAAATAAGTATATTAATGGGGGATTTGTGAAATGATCCATTCTTTGTAATATCATGATGAAACGTAGTTTACAAAAAATAATCCGATTGATCTTTGTGTCAATAGTCATTGACAAAAAAATTAAATTAAAATGATAAAGTGGTGTAAATTTGGATTGAAATAAAAAGTCAAAAATGGGCGTGGCAAGTCACATGACACAGACAATACATTAGTAATAATAAAAAATGAATGCTCATGGGGAGTAGATATTGAATTTAAAATATTAATGCGAAAGGTAAAATCCCTACTAAAACAGACCACCCCCCTCCAAATTTGCAGTGCCCCATTCCTTAATTCACCGGAGCAGTATCTGTTCAAAAAAAATTTGAGTTAACGTACGTAGCCCCTTGAGATCGATGATATGGTAATTTTTTCATAGTATATTGACTGAATTGCTGAATTCTTTGTAATATCATGATGCGTTAAAAATATCCGATGATCGCTTATGTAAAATAAAAATGATCGGCGAAACACAAAAATTTTAATTCAAAAATTAATTCAGCATTGCCCACATATATTTTGCGTCAACGACTCAATTCTTTCCAGAGATTACGAGCCACTTGTACTGTACACTTAACATGTCTCCTCTCATTCCCTTAAGTTGATAAATGTGCAGACTGTGACATCAATGCGGACTGTGTAAATGGAAAATGCCGATGCAAGATGGGTTATGTTGGAACAGGATACGCATGCGTTAAAGGTAATCTAGCTGCTACGAACTGAAGATGATAGACAAGAGAGTTCATCGTACAGGCAGGACATGTCTCAGTACAAACTCTCTTATAGGCTAAGGCCTAACTTTTAACTTTTCATGAGAAGAAATAAACTGGGTGGGTTACGTTCATGAGAAGTTCGATTTCTGCATCAGTTAAGTTTGTCTCAATGAGTTTGGGTCGACCAACACGTTCTATTCATCTGCTTCAGTTGGTAATGTTGTGTGATTGATTTGATACTCAATTCGTTCGATGAAAGATCCAACAGACATTTAGGTCTACCCAAATCACAATTTGTTTCGTCTCATGAAAAGTTTGAAGTTTAATTTTGGTTTTATAGTGAGCAGTTATTAGTTACCATTACTTCGTTCACTGCTAACTTTGGTCATATTTCTCTTTGACATGTCCCATGAAATTAAACCTCATGGGGGAACTATTAGACTGTTCACAGTCCTCTATTTTTCCGTAAGATCGCGGAGATCGAGCGCTATGTGTTGCGGGCTGCCATCTTGCGTCAGTGTTAAAACTACTTATGAGGCCGGGGCGGTTTGGGAGGAAGCGAGAAAAATAGAGGGACTGTAATAACATCACTACAACTCGCGTTCAGGAGGCGTGACAGGAATTTCACGCCTTTTACCATTCATTAATTAAGAAACTCCGCTGGTGATGAAAAACATGCCAGACACATTTAGCATCGATTACGCGTGTTAACAAATATCTCCTTTCGAAACAGTGATTTTATAATGTTTCTGGGCCATTCCTCGAAATAAAATCGGCAAACATGCACAAGAAAACATTTTCCTAATCAAAATACCAAAAATCCTTCGTGTGTTTGCCTAGATGCAGCTTCTTTCTTCCTGAATCGTCTTTACGTATGCTCTACTTTTCCTTAATTTATCCTTATTTTTACTACTGCAATATCGTTTGGGCCTCGACCTATAAAACCAATCTCCGCCGCCTTGTTATCCTGCAAAAGCGCATTATTAGAATTATTAATAAATCACATTTCAATGCTCATACTGAACCCATCTTTAAGGACCTCGGTATACTAAGATTTAATGATATCCATTTGCTTCAACTGGGCCAATTTATGCATTCTTGCAAAAATTCATTGCTACCTCCAAAGTTTAATAACAATTTCTCTCAAAGCAATCAATTCCACTCTTACAATACAAGAAATTCCCAGGCCTACCGTCTACCGTATTGTCGTACAAACACGAAGAAGTTCTCGCCCTTTTTTCAAGGGCCTAAGTTTTTTAATTCACTTGACAACAAGGTCATCAACTCTCAATCCCTCTGAAGATTAAATTAATGAGTAAGTATGAAAACAGTTGATAAGTCTTTCCCTCTTCGACTTTTCGCCTTCTTTTCTTTAATTGATGTGAAACAGCTCTAGCTCATAGTTCGAGGAGGCCTAACCTCTCATAAGCTCCTGTAGTTTCTGTTAGGTTTCCTCGCCACTTCTTTTTTTCTTCTTTTCCTATATTTTTTGTAATCATTGTGTGGCAAATAAAATAAAATAAAATAAATAAATAAATAAAGATGTGCCTTATGGTATGAAAGCGTACTTTTTTTAGAAAAGTCGACTTGTCAACGACCCCTCAATGTCGGCAACTTAGACTAAACCCATTGTCAACGCAAATTAACATCTATTGTCTAATGACCAATCAAATGTCTGCGTTGCAGGTACAACGCGCTCCGTGAACGCGAGCTGCAGTGATGTTATTACAGTCCCTCTATTTTTATGCCCCCCCCCCACAGCTATAATCCCCGATGCCCGCCCCCTCGGTACATTTGAAAATCAAGATACCCATGACGGTAAGACGCGGTATATCTAACCGATCTCACGAAAAAATAGGGAACTGTGAACAGTCTAGGGAACTATTGGGTATATATAGCGCCAAGAATGTTCCACTGTTGCTTCGGACCTTCGTATGCAAGGTTTTTTTGTGCACGTGCGATAGCAATCCCGAATAACAAAGACTGGCGGCCCTTTCTGCGTCCCTGTTATGCGTATCTCTGGCGTTTATTACAGTGCCGCATGACCATCGTCTTTCAGTCCAGGTTTGCATCACCGAACAGTTGATCGAAAATTGATGCACCAGCGCTCATGGCGTGCCTCAAAAACTTCAGGAAAGGCTGTGTGATGCTATACAAAGGTGTTCTTACATTAAGAAATTTAAAATAGAAACTCTGAAACTACCATTGCTAGTTTGCCGTCCATTCCTTGGGTGCTCAATTTTGAGGGAGAAAAAGAACAAACAAATATGCAAACAATAACACTTGAATAACCGTGGACTTTTAATTTCAGATGAAAAAGAGAAAGAATGCGAGGAGGTTGTGTGTCCCATTACTCAATACTGCGTCCGAGGTGTTTGTGTATGTCTACCAGGAAAGTTTTGTTAACTGAGTAAAACTATCCTGTCTTGGGCAGTTATTTGTTATCACTTTGAGTAACGTTTCGTTTAAACCCAAAGGCCTCCTAAAACGTTCTGTCGAACGTACAATGAAAGAGAGAGCCTGACGGATAAGTTGTAGCATTAATTGTAAAGGTTACCTGAATACAATATTTGTGTATATTAAATAGATGGAGACATTATTAGATCAGTGATGTCAAACGAGATTGCCGCCATTTTGTATTTCACTGATCGCTCAAACAACGTTTTATTTCTGTCAATCTGTATAAAATATCACAATTAAACATTTCGCTACAAGCGTCTGAAGAAATCGTTTTATGCCTTTTTTATGTTAAAAGTTAGCTCGATTTATTTCTCTCCCTCTTTATGCTCTGTGGAAAATGTTGTTTAACTTATCTCAACTTAACGGTCTAAGCGACTTTTATGTTCACATAAAAGATATAGCTAAAACTGGAGAACGCTAAGAGATATAGCCTGCGTAGCCTAGGGGTTTTTGTAAGGAGCATTACTCAGAGGCGAAGCCGCAAAAACGCGCGTAAAGCGCGCGCGAACGTTCCCACCTCAATTTCCTCGCGGTTTCTCTGCCCTCGCCCGCCTTTATTACTTTGCACGCCCATCCAAGACCGTCATGCTACGCAGACTATGAGAGATTTTAAGTAAAGGACTAAATACTTTTGGATATATATTTTTAATTAAAATTGAATATCAGTAAGCAACGCAACACAAAGAAAAAACTAACATACTTTAGTATATACATACTCAGTGATCTTGGTGATTCAAGCAATCTGATTGATTCGCTATCTCGGACTATTCGACAATATTCACCTCCTAGCAAGTGGATAATGTGTGAGCTCGGTGTTTTTCCCATTTTTTTTAGAGAACGATCTTTTAAAAGTCGACAAAATCCTAGCGCTGACTTTTTTTAAGGTAAGAAAAGACTTGGAAGGATTCAATACGGCGTTTTTCAATTTACTCTAGCTGAGTTTTGTGCTCGACGGATTGTTTATAACTCCCGTGTATTCGCGTAGAAGAAGCCGTTTCGTGAACTCAGCGTTTTCTAACAAGAAAATTTTGGCTCAAAAATCAAAGTTTATTTGTGACAAACAAATTTAAAAGGAAATGTTTTCAGAAATTCTACGTTTCAAGTAAACAGGAAAAAAAATGATATAGGAAGACGACTTCTTACCTCGAGCAACCGAGCCGCCACTTGTCAGCACTTCATGCGAAGAACGACACAACAAACCCTTTTGGCTATAAACTTGGCGAGTCAACAGAAAACAACAAAGCTCCACTTTTCTTCTCTTCTTACGCTGTTGTTTGCGAAATGATAAACTTGTGAATTGCCATGTTTGAAAATTCTGCAAAGATCTATTTTTAAACTTACGCGTGATTTGATCTGTCAATCAAATTGTACTTTTTAATGGTTTCCTCTCTGATTTTGTTGAGATCACTTCGTGTGTATATACTAAAACAATTATTCTTTTCAATCTCGGTGAATAGTGGCTTTGGGAATATTTACCTAGCCGCTTTCGCGGCTCGGCAAATATTTAGCCACTATTCACCTCGATTTCAAAGAAGAATTGTTTAGTATACACATATTAAAAGTGGCGGAAAGCTTTCCTTTATTTGCCCATTTCTTTTCAAATATAGAACGTTTTCTCGACTTTATAAAGCCATGAAAATTCATCTGTTAGCCTTTTTTAGGCCTTTTCAAAGACCCAAAGGACAGATTTCGCTACCCTTTTATATACTTTAACAAGTAAAATCCCTACCCTTCCATATACCTGAGTCCTGAAAAAGGTACCCTTTGCGGGCGGAGCCTCCCCTTATAGGCCGCCATCATAGGGAGTCTCACCCTACCAGCAGAACCTTCTTTCGGTCTGTCGATTGTCATGAATTCTAGGAAGACTCTGTGTACTGTCGCAATTTGTAATAATCATCGCACTTTGTAATAGCTGTCGCAATTTGTAACAAATCCATCGCATTTTGTAATACCCGTCGCAATTTGTAATGAACTGTGTCGCACTTTGCAATAAAAAAGCTGTCGCAATTTGTAATAACAGTTCATCTCACTTTGTAATAAACTAAACTGTCGCAATTTGTAATAATTTCATCGCACTTTGTAATAATTTTTTGAGAGTGATTCAACTTACTTCGTCAACATAAATATAATGCCAAAATATGCATGGTACTTCATAAACAAAGATGTTGACGTCTGCTAGCACGTAACATCTCCGTAACGTTTTCTTTGGTCAAACATGCATGTCTTCCGCTATAAATTTTTCTGCCTTGATTAATCACGTGACTAACTAGAAACGCTTTTATGAAAGACATGAAACTTCCTGTGAAATATCACCAAAAAGGTATGAATCATGTTTAAATTAAAAAATATTTCAAGAAGAAAACCTGGCATTCGTCGTCCAAATCCATGTTTGCTTGCCATGTGCCACGTGAAGTCTTCGGGGGGGGGGGGGGGGGAGGATAATCCCATATATGGATGTGCCAGATAGGTAAGTACTGCCTGATCGGGTATGGTTTTTGAGGATCTCTAGCCTTTAATAGGGTATCAGTTTTTACGATGTTGGCCTTGTGT